TTTTCTTCTGTTAACACTTCCTCATACGTCGCATGAAGCAAGCGATGGGCTTGGCTGGCCACAAGCCAGGTTATATCTTGCAATGCCCTGGAGCTCTGACCGGCCACAGGAGCATGTGGGATCCGGCATCCCTGGCACCACAGGGCACTGCTGTTTGGAGAAGGGACAGTGACAGTGGGATCTCAGGGCAGTGAGATCTCAGGGAGAGGGCATGAGAGCTCCCTGCTTCTCCCTCCTGCCTTTGGGGTTCCAAGCATTGCCCAGCTTTGCTGACAGATGCCCACATGCTCCAGAGGTGCCTTTCATGAGATCCTGGGAGCTCCAGCTTCTCTGAGCCCACCTCTCCGAGGCCTATGCCGTGTTGAGTCCTGACAACCAGCAGGCACCAGTGGGCAGGCTTCAGCCCTGGCTACGGCTGCCCACGGCCCCACGCAGCCGCCGGCAAGCCGCCTGCAGTACCAGGGCAGCCATCCCTCCCCCTCTTCCTGCCACCACACACGAGGAATGTCTCCCCGCGGTGACGAATCCAGCTGAATCCGGGCGCAGGCTGCGATGCAGTCAGTCACCAAGGGAGATTGTACCACGTGCATACCCGCAGCCACGGGGAATGGGGATCAAGGCTTCCCTGCTAGGTCCCCCACAGCACCCCAGGCTTGGCCCCACTCTGCAGGGGCTCTAGCAGTGCCGGGATGGGATGGAAAACGCCCCTTGGACATGACCCTGTGTGGATTCACTCAGGGGTCGTGGCATTACCTGGTGGCAAGGCAGGCATGATCCCCTTGGGTGCAGCAGAGGAGAAGGGAGTTGTGGCTGGCAGAGCCCAGAGTGGGGATAATGCTGGTGAATGTCCTCTAGCCTGTGGCCCCAGGGCCATGCCCCAGGGGTGGCAATCTGCCCTGGGAGCAGCCCAGTTCAGCTCCGGCTTGGCGCTGCCCTAGCACCACTGGTCATTAACCACCCTTATCGGGTGGGTGGGTCAAGGACCCACATGGGTCCTGTTATCCCCTGGTTGAGCAAAGCTGGGGCCATGCTGGAAACAGCTGCTGCAATGGCCCTGTACCTCGGCACGTGGCCCTGTAACTGTGCTTGATAATTGTCACTGTCACTGCTGTCCCCTCTTGACCTTGCTTCCCCAAAAGACCCACCAGGCCCTTTGTGCATCTCTGGGGTCAGTGAGGCATGTGCCAGCGGTGGGTACCTGGTGTGCTTAGTGCTGGCAGAGGACATGATCCTGGAGACACCAGTCCAAGACATCTGCAGAGCACTTCAAGGATGGTGCCAGCATGGGGGGTCAGAGGCGGGGGTGCTGGGCCCAACTGGTGCTGAGGGGTCCCTGGGATGGGTGCAGGGCTTGCTGGATGCATGCACGGCAGCATCAGGGAAGGGAGGGACTGATCCAGCGCCTGTGCTGGCCCTGTCCCATTCACCCTGCTGTGCTCTGCTGCATCACAGCTCATGTCCAGGCGCATTTACGGCCCCATCTGGAAGTCAACCTTTGGGCATTATGAGAACATCAACATCGGGAGCCCAGTGGTGCTGGAGCAGCTGCTGCGGCAGGAGGGCAAGTACCCCATGCGGAGTGACAGGGCCCTGTGGAAGGAGCACCGGGACACGCGGCGCCTGCCCTACGGGCCCTTCACTGAGTGAGTCCTGCCCTGGCTGTGCTCTGCGGGACAGCTCCTATTCCTTCCTTGGGGTGTAGGGTCCGGGTGGCATCTTGCATTGCCCCCTCTCCTGCAAGCCGTGTGTCCCCCAAGCAGAAAGGCATGGCCATGGAGGGTGGAAAGACCCCTGGGGTGGTTCCAGCCCAGCATGGGGAGGATGCAGCCAGGGATTGGCAAACTGCTGCCAGCCTCCACCTTC